GAAGGATCGCCGGAGCCCAGCAGGTCGAGGCTGCGGTGGCTGGGAGCGGCCACTGCACTCCAGTCTGGGCGACAGAGTGAGACTCCAACTCAAAAAAAACAAAAAAAAAAAATCTCCTTATCATGGCACAGAGCTGAACACATACAGTACATGGCTACTGTACAGAACTGAGGCAAGTCACAGGAAAAAAGAGAACAAAAATTATTGGTTTGTTTCTTCTCAGCATTTTGAAGTCAGAGGAGCCAGAGAGGGGGAAAGGCCAGAGAGGAAGGAGATACACACTGGGAGAGGGGACCTTAGAGCAGAGAGGACACCAGGCAAGGCCACTGTCCCCTTGATGCCCGGTAGTGTAGTTTTTCCATGGGTCACCACAGAAAGGAATTTCAGAGCGAGATGAAGAGAGAAGTTTAAAGTACAGTTTATAAAAGAGAGAAAAAAAATGACACAGTCAAGAGAGAATACGGGTGCCCTTAAGGGAAAAGGCACACCTCCTTTCTGTTAACAGAGTGCTTTACATATTCCCAAAGTGATGGTTAACCAACCTATTTCTATGCTAAGCTCTGATCACAAGTTTCGGGTCTTATCATTTTACTTCTAAGTTTGCTTGTGTTATGAGGAGCTTTTGCAATAATAGGAAAATTTGCTGTTTAAGTTTTCTCTTAGAGCACTGTGCTTCAGTGTCTCCAGTAACTCCCTACTTTTTTTATTTTTGATCTTTGTAGCTAATTACGTTTTCTCTTAGAGCACCGTGCCTCGGTGTCTCCGGTAACTCCTTACTGTCCTGTTTTTGTAGCCAGCCACCCCTTTTTCCAAGGTTGGGCCTGGGCGTCAGTCAATGTATAGTTGTCTAAATGAGTTATGCCCAGATGCCCATCTAAGCCTGCCTGTAAGAAACTCACTATCTACGTCTAAGCTATGCTAGCTGTCCTGCCTCACCCTGAGAGGGCGTGGGACATCAACAGAGGCACAGAGATTGCAGATGGGAAGATTGGCTGGAGCCGAGACTGAGCAGATGGGCTAAGAGCTGCCTGGCCACTCTGGGAAGGCACTCAGGACCATGAGAGAGGAACAGTGACAGGGACCCAGGAACAACCGGGCAGCGTAAGACTCAGCAACCCAGGTTCTTCTCCCTCAATGCTCCGCCTCACAGTCTCTGAAGAGAAAAACCTCATGGTGGTTGAGCCAAGGTGGGGCCTGGGAATTGTAGACTATTAAGGGCTTCAGAGGCCACTGATCTAATCTGCCCCTTATAGGGAGAAATTGAGGCCCAGGGATAAAGTGACCTGCCCAAGGCCATGCAGAGGAGCCAGACTATAACTCCAACCTGGGCTCTAACCCTGCATTCCTTTCTCTCCTATTAGGCTGCCCCAAGCCTGGGGATGGGACTTGGGCCGAGCTGAGAGAGGAGTAGCCAGCCCTTAGGATGGGAGGGCAGCCAGAGAGGCTAAGAAAATCCGCAGGAGAGCAAGGTTCAGGACAGATTTGGGAGGCTGGAGGCTGTGGTTGCAAAAGGGGTGGGTAATGATTCATGAGGTGTAAAAGGAACCACGGAAGCCAAGTGCTAGGCACACTGGGGGCACATGCCACATGGCAGCTTTCTCCCCCAAGGTTGTCCTGAACCTCGTCCAGGAACTTCCAACCTGACTGTGCAGTGCCTGGCTCGCCACAAGGCATCAGGATATGATGCTGAAGTAAGAGATGAGCCCTCGAACTCACTTTTTTTTCCTTGGTCCATAGGAATCTCCTACCAGCGACTGGTGAGGGCTGAGCAAGGCCTGTCCATCAGGAGTCACCGCAGCTCCACTGTGTGAGTGCTCTTAGGGAAGAGAGAAGCAGGGTGGGGGGCATTCAGGTATCCCCACTGTTTCACCGTAACCCCCTGCGCCCCCACCCATCTGGTGAACTCACTCATCCTCACCTCAGACACCAGCAAACAGGCAACAAAGGAACAAGGAACCCCCTGGAATTGCTGGTGATGTTTTATATACAGGTTCGTTTTTCTAGGTGGAGGGTCTTTCATTAGATTCTGAAAGGGTTCTGCATCAATTGTACCAAGTGTCAGCCACACTTTACCTCACTTTACCCATACTTTTCAGATGAGGAACTGAAGATCAGAGAGGCCAAGTAACTTCTCTAAGGTCATACAGCTAGCAAGTATCTGAGTCAGGATTTGAACCTCTGTCTTACTCAAAAGCCCATGCTCTCTCCACAGTGTGTTTCTGCCTGTTACTAAAATAGTGTTTCCAAACTTTTTTGACCAGAACTTACAATCAAAATTACATTTTATACGACAGCCTGATACACACACACACAGGGCTAAAACAAGTTTGCTGAGATGAAACTTATCCCTACTACATAGGATGAGCTCTGTCCTATTCTATTTCATTTAAGATACAAATTGTTTGCAACTCCTCAAATGGATTGCATTACCCACTCCTGGGTCCTGATCTACGATTGGAAAAGCACTAGAGAGGAGGCGGCCATTCTGGGGACCGTCAGCAGGTCTCAAAGCTGTCTTGCCTCGACATGGTGGGAGCCCAGGGACCCCGGTCTGCACTGACTCAGAAATGATAGCCTTGCCCTCCCCAGCCCCAACCCCAGGGTTCGCTTCCCATTCACACCACTGAGAAACACTCCATGAGTTCCTTAAAGGTAAAAACAAAACAAAACAGAATGAGCCTGTGGTAAATGTTGAGAGACACAGAAAGGACAGAAAAATGTCGCTTGGTAAGTAAAGAAGATACCTCCAGGGGACTGAGCACGGGGAACAGGTGAATAATCACCAATATCTTTTAGGCACTTGCACTCCAGGCATTCTCCTGGACATCATTACATGTGTTGATTCCTTTAATCTTCAAGTTAACCCTGTGAGAAACAAATTTTTCAGATAAGGAAACTGAGCACAGAGAGGTTAGTAGAAAGAGCGCAGGGTTGGGAGATGTCTCACTTTCGTTATCTATGAATTGGGACTGATGAGAAGTTCTTCAGCAGAGAAACTGCAAGCTGGTAAGGGCAGAGCCTTGGCTGTCTTGTCCTGCATATAGTGGTGCTCAGCACAAGTCCATGGGAAGAATGATCAAGCGCTTAGCAAGGGAGAGGGAGGGGTTCAGTCAGGGCCTGCTTCCATGAACCCACCTCCTTTTTCTTACAAATAGAGAAATCAAAATTAGTTTCTACCCAAATGATGGGGACTCTAATAGAGACTGGTTCTGTCTCTGCCCTGACCCTGGGGGCCCAGCTCTGGGATAGATGTCCACAGAACCTGGAAGGAATACTATCTGTATGGTGCTTTTTTGCACTGGATTTAAACGCAGCATGGAATTGTGAGCGTGCAAGAGCCCTCGAGAGCAGTTCATCCTAAAACACGTATGGCTATAAAACCATGATGACTTGAATTCATATTGAGATTCTGCAGTGATGGAGGGGTTGGCTTGGCATCATTGTGTGAACCTCTAAAACTGCTAACCAAGTGACCAGCACCTCAGGGTCCACGATTCTCTTAATATCTGGGTTTGTTTGAAAATTTCTGTAATAAATGTAAGCACTGGTATCAAGAGGGAATCAGGGGCCTGTCGGGAAGGGAGGTAAAGAGGGCTGGGCACACGTTTGCCTCCCAGCCCGATGCTAGCCTAGATCATGGCTTCAGGCTAATTAGCAAAGATGTCCCCTGTGAGTGGAGGAATAAGAGGTGGCTCTGACTTGGCACCCCTTCCTCTGAGCAGATGCAACCCTGCTCCACTAGGAGTTCCAGGCCCGATTGCCCAGGCCCCACTGCATAGCAGCATGTGGGTGCCCTGCCCTACCCTCCTCCTGAAAAATGGCCACCTGGCTTCAAGTCACCTTGCCAAAAATACAACCCTCTTTTGAGTAATCATGCATCCACTCAGATGTCTCCTAGAAAAAAATTGTTAATATAAAAGTTAAAGGAAATTAGCCAGGCATGGTAGTGTGTGCCTGTGGTTCCGGCTACTTGGAAGGCTGAGGTGGAAGGATCGCCAGAGCCCAGCAGGTTGACGCTGGGGTGGCCGTGAGCATGTCACTGCACTCCAGCGTGGGCGATGGAGTGAGACTCCAACTCAAAAAAAAAAAAAGTTAAAGGAAAATTTACTTTTAAAAGTCAAGTTCAGTTTGAAAAGGTCTTTGAAAACACCAGCTGAAAAGTACCCCAAACTATCCCCTGGGAACTGGAGCCCTGGGGCTGCTGCCTCTCTCCTGGCCTCCTGCAGTCACTTCCTCTGGCCCTGCCTGGACCGTGAGGAGGCCTGGTCCTCAGTGGAGCTAAGTACCCCAGGCATGAGGTGTGTGGCTGCACCCTGGACTGCTGTCCACCACAGGTGCCAACACCGGTCCTCTGTGTCCCCAGCACCGTGCTGTTGCTGAACCCAGTGGAGGTGCAGGCTGAGTTCCTGGCCGTGGCAAACAAGCTGAGCACTCCTGGACACTCACCCCACAGTGCCTACACCACCCTGCTCCTGCATGCCTTCCAGGCCACCTTTGGAGCACACTGTGATGTCCCCAGTCTGCACTGCAGGCTGCAAGTATGTATGTGGGACCCTGGGGCTCCAGGGCCCCCCTCCCATCTGCTTCATCTAGGCCGTGGTCTCCAGGGTGCACTAGTGTTCTGCACCACGAGTGACATGACAGGGTGGTGGCTGCAAGGCTGACCTCATTGAGGGGGGTTTCTGGTGTGCTGGACCCTGATCAGAGTTGGGTGACAGCCTGGGCAGTGGGGCTGGGCACCCATAGCTGGTGCCTCAGAAGGTGGCGTATGCCATAGGAATGGGAAGCTTCGGACTGAAGACCTGGCGTCTAGTCCTGGCTCTGTGATAAGTCAGCTGTGTCACATAGACAGCCCCTTCCCTTCTCTGGGGCATAGTGAGGAGCTCTGAAGTCCCCCCAGCTGTTGTGCCAGGGCTCTGGGCCTTTCTCTCCTGAGAATGGAGGAGAAAGAGAGGCCTCCCTGGCCAGCTATGGGTAGAGGTGGGTGATGAGGCCGGGAGGGGACTGGTCACTGTCATCCTCGGTAAGACCTTAGGAACTGGAACAGATGGGCAGCTAGGCTACAGTACAGGCGCAGACCCTATCTCCTGGGATTTTAGGTCAAGACCCTGGCAGAGCTCGAAAATATCTTCGCGGAGACTGCAGAGGCACAGGAGCTGGCATCTGGCATCAGGGATGCCATGGAGGCCCGGCAGTGGCTCAGGACTAAACTGCAAGCAGTGGGAGAAAAAGCTGGCTTCCTTGGGGTGTTAGGTGAGGTTCTCGAAGGAAAGTAGAGTTCTGCTCACTTCCCCCCCGACCCCTGCCACCAGTTCTAACTCCCCAAGTGTGTCTGGTGGCTTTGCTCCACACAATCAGTCATGGACCCAGGTTCTGCAGCACCATGTGGCCCCACTATCCCCTAAGGCATTGTTCCTTACCTGTAGGGTTAGAGTTGGGTTGCCATGGTGTTGGCTCCAGCCAGGGTTTACGGGCAACAAGAATGCTCACTGACGGCAAATGCCTTGGCTTTTTTGTTGAAGGTGATGCAAAAGCTGTACATATCACTTCTGCACTTGTTGTTTTCACCCGCCTTGGTCACATGGCCACATCTTGCCCCAAAGGAGCCAGGAAACTGTCCTCTCTATAATTCTATTACCATGGAAGGGAGCACAGATTTGGAGGAACCATTAATAATCCCCATTATAATATTCCTCAGAAAAACCTTAAGGCCAGTACTATTATTTCCTCATTTGGACATTGTAAAATGAGGCCAGGAGTTGTGACTTGGCCATTTTCCTACAGCTGGTAAAGGGCATGATATCTATATGGTGTGCCTGAAAGAACGGCCCTCTGGTGGAACTCAGGGCATCCCAGCTCTAACTCAGTGGACCCATCAAACTGTGTGGCCTTGTACCTGTCCTTTTTCAACTCTGTTTCTCTGAGACAAGGGGACTGGGCTGGCCAGTCTCCAAGGCCTCTTCCCAGTCCTCTTGTCTTTTCCAACTGCTCTTACAGACACTGCAAAGCCCGGAAAGCTCCATAACATCCCCATCCCTGTCGCCAGGTGCTACACCTACAGCTGGAACCAGGACAGTTTTGGTAAGGAGCCAGCTGGAGCCTGTTGGCACTCACACCTTAAACTGTCCAAGCTGTCTTTCTGGTCCTGGGTCTGTGCAGCTGCCACCTCCTCCGCCCCCCTGCCCCACCAGCTCTCCTGCCTAAGCAGAGAAGGGGACAATGCTGTGAGTCATGGACTGTCCCTGACCCCCCTTCTGCTATCTCCCATCTGAAGGGTATACAGGAGGGAATTCGGGGGGCCTAGACCCCCAGACAGTGCTGTCCCTTGCTTCTCTGCAGACATCTTGCAGGAAATCCTGCTCAAGGAACAGGAGCTGCTCCAGCCAGGGATTCTGGGGGATGATGAAGAGGAGGAGGAAGAGGAGGAGGAGGAAGACTTGGAAACTGATGGGCATTGTGCTGAGAGGGATTCCCTGCTCTCTACAAGCTCTTTGGTGTCCCGCGACTCCACTGTGTCCCTTGCCTCCTCCCAGGCCTCAGGGGCAGACCTCTCCCGCCAGCTGCTGACCTCCTTTGTCTCGGGCCTCTCGGATGGCGTGGACAGTGGCTACGTGGAGGACAGTGAGGAGAGCTCCTCTGAGTGGCCCAGGAGGCGTGGCAGCCAGGATTGCCGGGGCCACCGCAGGACTGGGCAAAAGTTCAACAGGATCTATAAACTCTTCAAGAGCACCAGCCAGCTGGTACTGCGGAGGGACTCTCGGGTCCTGGAGGGCAGCTCGGACACTGCTCTGCCCCTGCGGCGGGCAGGGAGCCTCTGCAGTCCCTTGGATGGCCTGGCACCATCCCCCCCATCCCGGGCCCAGCGCTCCCTCTCCCTGCCCCAGGCCAAGCTCAGTGCCCAGCTGCCCAGCTGGCTCCTGGCTCCCGCATTACGCCACCAGCGCCGCCGCCCCTTCCTGAGTGGGGACGAGGACCCCAAGGCCTCCACTCTACGTGTTGTGGTCTTTGGCTCTGATCGGATTTCAGGGAAGGTGGCTCGGGCATATAGCAACCTTCGGTGAGAGCCAGAAGGGGGTTGGGGGCTATCGCTCTGCCCTGGGGAGCAGGGTTGTTGTGCCAGTGGAATCTGGGGCCTGAGCTTGGCGTCCCAGAAGGACCAAGGGCTCCCTTCTCATCATCCTGCTTCTTGCCAGGCGGCTGGAGAACAATCGCCCACTCCTCACACGGTTCTTCAAGCTGCAGTTCTTCTACGTACCTGTGAAGCGAAGCCACGGGGCTGACTCCAGGGCCTGTCCAACCCCTCGGAGTCAGACACCTTCACCCCCCACAGACGCCTCGAGGCACCTCAGCCCTGCAGTATGTTCCCAGCCCTGGGCCTACCTGAAGGGAGTTGGTTGGAAGTCACTAAAAACAATCTGTGTTTATAGGACACCTCCCCCAACCTGGCCCCACTCCCAGCTTCCTGCCCTGCACTTGGGCATGGCATTTTGCCTTATGACAAAGACTGAAAGTTGTTATTACTTCTCCAAGGGCAGAGAAAAGCTCAACTGGGGGCTGCAGTTACCATCCCGGGCCCTGGAGCTAGGATGTGGGTAACTGGGAATGACTCTCATCCCTTGCCCCAGGAGCTGGGCCCAGCCCCATGGGAGGAGAGCACCAATGACATCTCCCACTACCTCGGCATGCTTGACCCCTGGTATGAGCGCAATGTGCTGGGCCTCATGCACCTGCCCCCTGAAGTCCTGTGCCAGGTAAGTGACCCCTGGGACCGGGGGAGAGAGCCGACTGGCTGCATTCACCCAACCTTTCTTAGAAGGCCCTGGGGGCCGGGCTCGGTGGCTCAGCCTGTAATCCCAGCATTTTGGGAGGCCAAGGTGAGTGGATTGCCTACATCCATGGGTTGGAGACCAGCCCTGGCAACTTGGCAAGACCTCATCTCTACAATAAATAAAAAATTAGCCAGGCGTGGTAGCACGTGCCTATAGTTCCAGCTACTTGGAAGGCTGAGGCAGAAGGATCACTGCAGCCCAGCAGGTCAATGCTCGACGCTGGAGTAGCTGTGGGTGTGCCACTACACTCCAGCCTGGGCAATGGAGTGAGACTCCAACTCAAAAAAAAAGGCCCTTGGCTTATGGGATCCAGTTTGAGGGTCCCATGGAGGAACAGGGTTTATTTGGAAAACAGCAGAGAGTGTGAGTGAGAAGCAGGACTAAGCCTGAACCAGGGCACTTGGGGCAAGAGCAGGGGCCACTGTGGTGACAGGCGAGGGTCCTCAGGAGGCTTCAGGAGTCCTTAGATTTCTGCCCCCTTCCTCAACTCCCAGCCTTTCCCAGAGAGAGGCCTCTCTGGAGGCCCAGGGGTCAGGTGAGGGAAGAGTATGGCGGCTGGGCATGGGCCTCCTGCTTCCTACCTCCATCTCACCATCTCTCCCTGGCTGTCTCTGTATCTCTCTTCTCTCTATCTCCCTTTCTCTCCCTCTCTCTCCCCCTCTCTCCCTCTCTCTCCCTCTCTGCCCCCTCCGTGTGTGTGTCTTTGCCTCCCTTTCTCCCCTATTCTTTCTCCTTCTCACCCTCTATCCACCCATCCCTCTGGGTTGGCTGCCCCACCGGCCACAGCAGTCCCTGAAGGCTGAAGCCCGGCCCTTGGAGGGCTCCCCTGCCCGGTTGCCCATCTTGGCTGACATGCTGCTCTACTATTGCCGCTTTGCTGCCAGGCCTGTGCTGCTGCAGGTCTATCAGACAGAGGTAAGGCCCACCCTGTCCACAGCCACCTCTCCCCCACAGTCTTACTGGCAGGCTCAGGTCAGCGTCACCTGTCTCAGCCCACACCCTGCCAGGCCTGCGCCGCCCTGCCCCTCCACCCCCGACCCCTGCCTCGTGGCAGCCAGCAGCCCTATGCTGGGGGAGCCAGGTGGGCCCCTCTGGGAGGTCCACACTGATGCACACGTTCCTGTCCTCTGCAGCTGACCTTCATCACTGGGGAAAAGACGACAGAGATCTTTATCCACTCTCTGGAGCTGGGTCACTCTGCTGCCACACGTGCCATCAAAGCTTCCGGTGGGTACTGCTTGAGCCCAGAGAAGGGTGGGGAGGCAGGGGTCACTTGGGAGGCAGAGCTTTGGTCACTGGGTCTGTGAAGGGCGGGGCATGCGAGAAGGAGTGAAAGGTCTGTCTGTGTGTGGCACAGGTCCTGGCAGCAAGCGGCTTGGCATCGATGGCGACCGAGAGGCCATTCCTCTAACACTACAGATTATTTACAGCAAGGTAAGGCCGGTCCTGGGGCTCCATCTTCTCTGGGACCTGCTGCTAATCCTTCCTTCACCAGAGCTGGACTCATGTGTTCCTGAGCCCCATCTTTAAGCTGAAAGGCCACAACAGGCTGAGAGAAGTGCAGAGGGGAGGGACTAGACATCTCTTTGCCCCTTGGCCTCCAAAACCTCCTTCCCTGTGCTCTCTCCCCACACCTGAATGCACTCAGAAGCTTCCGTGAACTGTCGGGGCAGGAGTCTGCTGGGCTTGGCTACCAGCTAGGCATGAGAGGGGAAAGGAGGGCTTCCAGAGGCGGTGTGAGAAAGAGGCCAGGGTCTTCGGGACTGATGTGCCTGGCTGACTGCATGCAAGGTGGGCTTGGTGTGAGAAGAGGGTGGGGAAACTTCTGGGGAGTTGGAGGGGTGCCCTTGGGACACCAGAAGACAGAAGTCTCTGAGCAGGTTACATCCTGGGCTACAGGTTGAGCGATGCTGGGCCTCACAGGTGGGGAGCCCTCCCTCCTTCTTTCCTGCCTTCTTTCCTTTCTTCTTTTCTTCAGTCATTCCAAAGATATTTACTTAGCACCTACACATGCTGCCACATGCTGGGCTGGAGAAATAGCCTTTAAACAAGGGAAGCTAGGCCTTCTCTTTAGCTTTTCAAGGGGAGGGAGACAGATAAGAAGTAAGGAAACAAATAGCCAAGATAGTACAGAGTAGAGAGTATCGGGGCTGCCTTACATTTGGTGGTCACAGAGTGGGCAGGAGGGATGGACACTCACCACGGGCCAACGTGCCAGGTGTGTGTTAAACATCATCCATGGTACAGACATTGTTCTAAGAGTGCGCAAAGAACAGACGTGGTCCCAGGAGACTTGCTTACAGTCTAAAGGGAGTAGTAGGCATTGGTTAGATGATCCCATAAGATATAAAATTACAATTGTGACAGATGAAAGAGAGGTGTATGGTACTGTACCTAGGCAGTATATTCAACACAGTCAAGCAAGTTAGACAATGCTCCCTTGAGACAGGACACTGAGTTAATATTAGAAAGAAAACTGGGAGTTGATTAGGCCAAGAAGAGAGGTGTGAGCTCTCCAGGCAACAATAACAGCATATGCAAAGGCCCTGTGGTGGGAGGCAGTGTGACTATAAAAGGTAACTGAAAGAAGACCACAGGAACTTTGTAGAGAGAGTTACTGGGTACATGACAATGTGATGAGCCTAAAGAAATAAGGGAGTCAGCGTATCATGGGCCTCAGTTGCAATGAGAGGAATGTTATCCCTGTCCTAAGAGCAATGAGTATCCATTAAAGGGACTTAAGTTTGCAATGGGGCTGGGAATGCATGTGACATGCTCGGATTTGAGGTTTGGAAGCTCCCTGTGGCAGCTCTGTGGAGGGAATATTGGAAGGGTCCACAGGGGTTGTGGGAAAGCCTATTAGAAAGCTCTCATGATTGCATAGAAGAGAGTGGGAGCAGCTGCACTAGAGCACTGGTGGCAGAGGTGGAAAGAAATGGAAAGTAGATGTGAGTGATTAATCAGTAGGACTTAGGAATGGACTAGAAAAGGAGAGGCCCAAACTTTGGGATGTCGGTCTTCTGTGACTGGCAGGACCATCATCTCAGGTGGGGAGCATAGGAAGAAGCCCAGGTCTGTGGGGGAAGATCATGAGGTTGGTTTGGGACATACTGAGTTTGAGAGGTCTAGGAAGTCAGTAGGCAGCTGGTAGCGTGGGCCTGACGTAGAGGTGGAATACGAAGATGAGTGTACGGCTGCTGATGGAAAAGGGGCACAGTGCGATTCCCTGATGCAGAAAGGAAGAGGTGCAAAGAGCAAGGGACCCCAGAGAAAGTCTGAGGACCTTTGTGACATGATGGCAGGCAGAGGGAGGTGATCCAGCAAAGTAGAGAGGCACCAGCCAGAGAGGTGGTAGGACAGCCAGGAGCACACCCCCACAAGAGCCAGGAGAGAGTTTTTCAATAAGGGGAGAGTGGTGGACACAACCAAATACTCCTGTATGGTCCAGCAAGCTGAGGATCAAAACATTCTCAAGTTTGACAACATGAAGTCTCCTGAAAGAGACATTCAGACAAAGGCCCAAAGAGGGGGTTCTGTTCTGGCTCTCCTGGGAACAGCATGCCTGTGGACCCGTCCCTTCCTCACTCTGACCTCGGCAGGAGAGCCTCAGGACCACCCAGATGCTCTCAGTGCTCCTGCCTTTCAACCTGGTCACAGAGCTGATCCCCGGACCACACCAGGGACCTGATGCCCCTCCCCGGAGCCAGGGAGGTGCAGGGTGGTGCAGGGGCTCTAGCTACTGAGAGAGCGTCCTGCAGTTGTGCTGACTGCAGGCAGTGCCCTGTCACTGGTGGGTCTTTGGAAAGAAAGTGGCAGGCATGGGGGCCTCTGGGCTGAGAGGGTCTGGCTGTGCTGCCTCTCCAGGGGGCCATCAGTGGACGAAGTCGCTGGAGCAACCTGGAAAAGGTCTGTACCTCCGTCAACCTCAACAAGGCCTGCCGGAAGCAAGAGGAACTAGGTGAGTGGGGTGGGCAGGGTGGGGATCAGGTAGGGGAAGAAGTTTCTCTGAGCCGGGCCTGAGCTGCCCTTCTTCCCTTTAGACTCCAGCATGGAGGCCCTGACGCTAAACCTGACAGAAGTGGTGAAAAGGCAGAACCCCAAATCCAAGAAGGGCTTTAACCAGGTAAAGGCTTCCCTCTCCTTCCAGCCACACCCTCAGGGGACTTAGGGGAGTATGTGTGTTTATGTGTTCACGTGCATGTGTGAGTATGAGAGAGAAAGAGAGTGAGGATTGGTGTCTGGTGGGCACTGTGGGTGGAAGAGGAGACGCAAGTAAGAGATACGGTTTGGGGGTGTCCACAGGTATAGAGTGTGATAAGGTATTGGGGGGATGGGGTGCCCCGTGAGAGGCTATGTGCATGTAGAAAAATTGTGGGGTGAGCTCCAGGAGGACCCTGAGTCCAAGGCAGAAAGGGCTCCATGTCAGGGAACCTGGGCTCTCATAGTGAAGGCAGTGGGTGGTGCAGAGTCTTCTCAGGGGGCACCTGCTCCTTCCAGACTCAGGAAGGGATAGAGGCTGGAGGGGAGGCAGGGCCCAATCGAGGCTTCAGGCCTTTAACCCTGCCCTGACCTACCCTTTATCCCTGGAGAGCTGCCAGCCAAACTGTGCCCACACATCCCCTTAGACATGGATAGGCAATTCTGAGAGAAGGAATTGCCTTCTGGTAGTTCCAGAAGGCTGGGTTGTATGGCCAGGGATTCAGAGATTGACCTGGGCCTTCCTTCCAGATTAGCATGTCGCAGATCAAAGTGGACAAGGTGCAGATTATCGGCTCCAACAGCTGCCCCTTTGCTGTGTGCCTGGACCAGGATGAGAGGAAGATCTTGCAGAGTGTGGTCAGGTAGGAAAAGGGGGTCCCAGGGAGGAAGTCAGTGTCTGCTCCTCCACTTAGAGGCCTGGAAGGGGCAGGAGGGATGGGATCCTTCCCTGACCCCTGAATCTTGCCCTGCCCACAGGTGTGAGGTCTCACCCTGCTACAAGCCGGAGAAGAGTGGCCTCTCACCGCCACCCCAGTGGCCCCCCGACCCACCGACCCAGACTGCACCGGACCTCTGCTCCCTCCTCTGCCTGCCCATCATGACTTTCAGTGGAGCCCTGCCCTAGTGTGGGCCTGGTGCAAGACTGGACAGGAAACCCTGGGGCAGCCTCCTCTGAGCCCACCTCCCAGTCACCCACTCTCTGTGAAGAACTGAATGGCCTGGTGCTGGGTCAGGGTCTTGCTGTGGGCCCTGCAGCAGGCAAGGGCCAGAGGGTAGATGGCTTCTGGGGCCTCAGAGCTCTAGGAAAGAAACAGTCATTAGGGAGAGGGGACTAACCCCATAGCCTCTCAGATTCTTCACAGTATAAGGAGAGGGATGGTGAGTTGATCTCTGAAGGCCCTCACCACTTGCATGGTATAGGAGACTTTCTAGAAGGAAGATCTGAGGCTCTGGTGCTCTGGGGTATGGTGCAAGCCTTCTTTCTCAACCTTGGCTAGGCTTACCCCTTACTTAGTCAAAGACTCAGGGAACCCTTTTTGTCTGGAGTTCAGTCCCCCATACTCTAGGGCTCAGGTGGTAGAAATGTGGATGAGACTTCTTTCCTTCGAGTCCACCTCTCTCCCCAACACACACCCAGTTTCTCCCTCTCAAGTTCCCTGGGTCTTCTGGAAAACAGCACTAACACTGGACCTATCTGCTGTCAGGACCTGGTACTGATTTTCTCTTGAGCCCCTTTCTGGATCTGAGATCCTTGGGAGACAGTCTAAGCTTAAATTCAGGAGCAGCTCAATTTCCTTCTCACTAAATAACCAGAGGAGGTTCATTAACATGGAGCTTCCACTTCCTCGGCACTAAAATGGGGAGAAATAAGACCTGCTTTAAGGGTTGACAAGAAATTGTCTATAAAACACCTATCCCAGTGCCTGGCTCATAGTAGGTGCTTAGTAAAGATTAGTGCCTTGCTCTCTAAATCTTGATTCCTCCTGTTTTGGCTCATGGGGACCCTTGCTGCACCTGGGATGCCTCAGTCACTCCTTCCCAATTAATGACTGAGGCAGAACCAGACTGAGGGGAGAAGAAGCATCCATTCTACCTTCCAAAGAAGGAACTGCCTTTGTCAGGGTAAAGAAAGGGCTGCTCAGGTGCCTAGCCCTTCACCCACTTCTCTGTCAAGTTGGCCCCAGTGCCTCCCACTCTCATCTTACTCTTTGGGCTGGTGTATGTTGTGAATCTTCCAGACTCGCAAGTTCACTGACACCATTCTGGCCCCTGGGCAAGATTCCAGAGCAGAGGATGGGGTGATGCATGGGAAATGACCAGGTTGGGGTGGTTTGAAAAGCTGGAAGCAAATATGGGCTAGGGTGATAGGGTAGAGGGCAGGACTGGAATTTGAACTGGTAGAGGTGAGGAGAATAACCATGGAAGCATAAAAATGTATCCATACAAAGCCCTTCTTCCTCTCCTTCTCCTGATTCATCTCTGCTTAAAGGGTCCTAGACTTACTGGAGCCCGTGAAATCCCAGCCCAGAGTACTCATGACTTGAGAGAAGTAGTCAGAGCCAGCCCTTCCCCTGCCTGCCGTTCCTCTCCTATCCTAGCCAGCTATACTTGCTCCAGGCTCCAGAAGAGTAGACTTTCAATACTGTTTTGTTGTATGATCATGTATGACATGATCAACAAATGTCCAGAAATTCATTGAGTGAAATTGAATATTATTGTCAAATAAAGTTTGATTTTTCCTGTATTTTTTTTTTTTAGTTAGAGTTTTACTCTGTTACCCAGGCTGGGCTGCAGTGGTATGATCATGGCTGACTGTAATTTCCAACTCCTGGGCTCAAGCAATCCTCCTACCTCAGCCTCCCTAGTAGCTGGTACTATAGGCACATGCCATCATGCCCAGCTAGTTTTTTAGTTTTCTGTAGAGATGAGGTCTCACTATGTTGCCTAGGCTGGTCTTGAACTCCCAGGTTCAAGCAATCCTCTCACCTCAGTTGTCCTGCACTTAATGCATAATTTCACTTATAACAGAAAGAAGATTCTAAGGGGACTGTGTTATTTATCATTTTGTAATTTTCCACTCTATACAAAATTTGTGTGCTAACATTTTTCCCAACACTGTTCCATTTAAGCCTCATCATATTCACTGATCTTCAGAACAAAAAAATCCTATACCCAAGCACTCAGTGGTTGAGATTTTACTTCACTTGAGAAACACAACTCAAGAGAAACACAGCTGTTTCCTGTACCCTAAGCACCAGGGAGGGGATGGGCCTGAGGCTCTCACTGCTGATGGATACACAATGGACCCTGAATCTACCATGCAACTTAGATGAAGGGGTGAGAGCTCAGACTTGGGTCATAAGGAGAGAAAGAAGAGGTAAAAGGATGTTAAAGGACACCTGTGACTTCAGAGAGCTAGGTAAGCACCAAGCTCCTAGAGCAACTACTTGGGATAGAGGGAGAAAGAACTGTGAAATGCTCTAGTGTTGGATCACCTAGCTATTGCAAACAACGGAGCACACCTAAAAGTCAGTGCATTAAAACTCTGATAATTTGTTCTTGCTCAGGCACCTACAGAACACCCAGGGATCACCTGGCCTAGGTTGGGCTTAAAGTGGCCTAGCTCCAAGCTGCAGGATGGATGCAGATCTCACCTGATCTCTCAGATGTTGGGCCAGCATGCCAGCACAGAAGGGGCAAGCAGAGACATGCAATGCCTCCTAAGAATGGGACCTGAACTGGAACAGGATTCCTTCTGCCAAAATTAAATTGGCTAAAACTGAGGAAGCACTTCGACCTACACAGTCAATAATTTCACACATGACAAAAAACCAAATCACATAAGAAGGGCATTTCACCTCTGATGTACTTTCCATAACCCAAGGCTAATCATGAGATTAAAATCTTCTGTTATTGGGCTTCTGCTCCAGTAAGTTGTGATCCTCTGCTGGTCTGTCTGTCTAATTCTTGGAGGAACCCCACTCTGTCCTGTGACCTCAGTTCTCTGCTGGATCTAAGAAGAGTTATTAATGTTCAGTTTGTCCAGCTTTTTTTCATGTTGTTAAGATAGGAGTGACAACTAGCAAGCTCCTTACATGCAGGACTGAAAACCAGAAGTCAAGTCATATTTTTTAATTAAAAAAAACACACAAAAAACTTCCCACAAAGAAAACTGCAGTTGCAAATAGATTCACTAGTGAATTCTTCCAAACACTGAAGGAAAAAATAACTCCAATCTTATATAAAGTTTTTTCAAATAATAGAAAATGATTAAACACTCTCCAGCTCCTTTTGGAGGCCAACATAACCTATACTAAAACATCAGAAGGGCATTAGTAGAAAAGAAGATTATTGATGCGTCTCCCTCATTAACTTAAGAATACAAAATTCTGCTTCTTTTGCCTTCCTGCCTTCCCACATGAGGACACAGCTTTCCTCCCTTCTGGAGAACACAACCAAATCTTCCAGTGCCTTGAACTTGGACTTCTCTGCTTCCAGAACTACTAGGATAAAAAATTAAGCTGAGAAGGGGACAAAATAGCAATGGAACTGATCAGAGTATGTGAGTCATGGGTGAGTGTGCATAAGGATGAATCTGCGTGTGTGTGTGCAAGTGGGTGAGCAAATGTCTGACTGAGAGAAAACATGGGAAAAAGCACCTGGGCTCCCCTGCAGAAGTGGCTGCAATTTACCACTGCTCTAAATTTGGCACCCCCCACCCCATGCACAGGAACATCCTCAATTCTCAGGGAATATCTCAGGAAAAGGCAGCAGAGATCAGCTACCTCTCGGCACCTGGCACCTGGCCCAACCTCACCACCTTTGGCAACAGGCAAACACTGGCAGTAGGGACCATGGAGAAAATGTGGAGAGGAAATCTGGAGCTGGGCCCCACTGGAGGAGAAGATGTAGGCCAATGCCGTTTTCTCTGTCCCCTAACCCAGGGAGAGACCTGTTTTAGCTTGCCCAGTACAGAGCAGCCTACATACTGAGACTGAGGGGCGATCTCCTCACCCCTTTGGGATCAACCAACATTGGCCCAAAGAGGATATTCCAAGTGCACAATAACAGAGATACCAGCACCAGCTTGGAAAACCAGATGCCCCACCCTCTACACTGGACTATTCACAGACACATGCAGTTGGAGCAGGAGACCTAGCAGCAGATGAGTAGGGGAGTATACATATGCTCCCACTGCATGAACATATTGTAAGATGGTGAGAAGTGGGTTCCAGGGGGCCCACACCCTACTCAGCAGATACTGTGTTCTGCAGCTAGCTTCTGAACCATAGTTCTGCCCATTACACCTTAATAAAATCTCAAAACTGCAAAAAACAACAACAACAAAAAACAGCATAGCCCCTTGCCACCAGCCTGGCTTCAAAATTGAACAAATCCAGAAGCTCAGCCTAAGGAAGAATAGGGGGTTGAGCAAACAGAAGTGAACACTATCCCCTTCCCACTGAGCAACAGAATTAAAGAGGAAAAAAAAGGGAGGGAGAATCCATCACAAATGAAGAATCAACAGAAGAACACAGGTAACCCCCAGATCCCTAGAAAGACAGTACCTGAGACTACAGATTTCAGAACTTAAACAATGAAGAGCCCCAGAAAGACTGGTCTCAAATCACAAACTCAGATATCAAGGTATTGATGGAGAGGAGGAATAAAAATGAAAGGCAAGGAGAAAGAATGAAAGAGTTGAAACTGAGATGATGGCAACAAAGAATACAGTGAATGAAATAAATAACATACTGACAAGCATGGAAAACAGAGTTAACCAAGCAGAAGAAAGAATCTCAGAGCTTGAAGATTGAAATATGGAACTAACCCAAATTGTTAAAAACATAGAAAGGAAACTTAAAAAGATGGAACAAAGTCTCCAAGAGATGTGTGATTATATTAAAAGGCCAAGCTAATGCCTGGTCAACATTTCTGAGGCAGAAAGGGAAACAGAGAACACCTTAGAACAAACATTCCATGAGATTATCTAAGAAAACTTTCCTCATCTCATCAGAGCCATAACCATCCCAAAACATGAGATTCAAAGAACCTCTACAACACATCAACTCCCAGACACATAGTAATTCACTTAGAAAAAATCCTAAAGGCAGCAAGAGAGAAAGGTCAGACTACCTACTGGGGAAGACCAGTTAGAATAGCAACAGACTGCTAGGTACAGTGGCTTAAACCTGTAATCCCAGCACTTTAGGAGGCTGAGGTGAGAGGATTGCCTATGCTCAGGGGTTCAAGACCAGCCTGGGCAACTTGGTGAAACCCTGTCTCTGCAATAAATTAAAAAATAAGCCAGACATGGTAGTGTGCACCTGTAGTTCCAGCTATTTGGAAGGCTGAGGTGGAAAGATTGACTGAGTTCAGCAGGTCAAGGCTGTGATGGTCACAAGCATGCTACTGCACTCCAGCCTGGGCGACAGAGTGACTCCAACTCAAAGAAAAAAAGAAAAAAGAAAAGAATAGCAGCAGATACACTACAAGCTAGAAGAGACTGGACTCCAATCTTCAAAGTTCTCAAAAAGTAACAATTTCAACCATGAATTTTCTATTCAGCTAAGCTAAGCTTCAACAGCGATGGAGAATTAAAAGTCTTCCAGTCATCCAGTTCCTAAGAGATTATG